TGTGGTGGGCTTATATTTCTTTCTGTGGTGAGTTGTGTTATTCTGATTGGCCACAGCTTATGTTAATGAGGAATTAAATAAAATATCCAATGAGAGTTGTTGAGGCCTTATGTTAATTAGGTGATTTTTAGATTGCAATTATTGGTTCCTTTAGTATGTAAAGTAGGGTTTCAGAGGGGACCAATGGCATGGAGTTCTATTGCAGTTATGAGTTACTTGGTCTTTTTATTTAATGGGGAAGTCCCATAGGGCGGGAACCACCACTTTGAGTATCTTTGGGTGGCACCATCTTAAGTAGTCCTCCCTGAACCTAATATAGATTAGTTTGTATTTTTTACAATTTTATATAAATAGAATTGTACTCTTTTTTGTCTGGCTTCTTTCTCAGTAGAATTGGGATTCATCAGAGTTGTTACATGTATTATAGTATTTAATCATATGGATATACTGCAATTGGCTTATCCATTCAGCTACTGATGAACATTGGGTTGTTTCCAGTTTTGGGCTATTACAAATAAAGCTGGTATAAACATGTATGTACAAACTTTTGTATGGATATATGTTTTCATTTTTCTTGGGTAAATACCTAGCAGAGGAATGACTGGATCATATGGAAAGTTTTAAGAAACCACCAAACAGTTTTTAAAAAGTGGTTATGCTATTTTTGCATTTCCATTAACCACCTATAAGAGTTCCAGTTGCTCCACATCCTTGTCAACACTTAGTATGGTTGGTGATTCTTTCTAATTTCAGACGTTCTGATAGGTGTGTAGTGGTATCTCATTGTGTTTTTAATGTGCATTTTTCTAATGGCTAATGACATTGGTCACCTTTCCATGTGATTATTTTTCTTCTATACATCTTCTTTGGCGAAGTGTCTGTTCAAATCTTTTATAACCTAATCTTGGAAGTGACACCCTATCACTTCTGCCATATTCTATTTTACTGGAAGTGAGTCAATAAGTCCAGTCCTCAGTCAGTGGCAGGGTTTACATTACAGTGGGACCTTTGGGGACCATCCTAGAGATTGCCTACCACAAATGACTTCCAATTTCTCTTAGAATAAAATTCATACTCCATATCCTGGTCTAAAAAGCCCTGCAAAATCTAGCCCCAGCCTTCCACATTGGCTTTTTTGTTATTTGAACATGCTGTGTTCCTTCTCCTTTTAGAGCCTTAGTATTTTCTCTTTCCTCTACTTGGAATGTTTTTCCATCAGATTTTCCCATGGTTGATCACTTCTTGTCATTCAAGTCTCAGTTTATAATTTATCTCCTCAGAAAAATCAACTGCAATCACCCAATCAAGCAAGTTGTTCCCCGGTCACTCCTTTCACATCACCCTGTATCAGTTCTCTATGTGGCACTTAGTACTATGTGACAGAATGTTAAGTTTCAGTGTGGCAGGAAATATGTTTGTCTCATTCGTCACTATATCTCCAAAGCCTAGACTAGTGTTTTGTATATGATAGGCACTCAGTAAATGTTTGCTGAAGGAACAAATGAATGAAATCTCAAAGGAGGCAAGAATAGATGGGATCCAGAGCATAGGTGGAGGGATTAACTTTGGATAATGTTCCTGTTACTACTACTGTTTAATAAACCACCCCAAAAGTAAAGGTATAAAACAGCAACCATTTTATTATGCCCCCAATTCTGTAGATCAGAAATTCAGAAAAGGCATAGGGAGGACGTCTCTGCTCCACATGTCTGGGGCCTCAGCTTGGAGGTCTTCAGGGCTGGAAGTGACATGACAGTTTGGGGCTGGAATTATCCAAATGTTAGTTCACTCACATGTTCAGTGGTTGTTGCTGTCTATTGGCTGAGACTTCAGCTTGGGCTGACAGCCAAAACACCTACACAAACTCAGGCTTCTTCATGGTTGCTGACTAAGTTCCAAGAGTAAGCACCCCAAGAAAACTAGGCAGAAGTTGCATGACCTTTTATCACTTACACTGGAAAAATCACTTTTGCTCTAGTCATAAGCATGCCCACATCAAGGATAGGGAAGACTGACCCCATTTTTGGACAGGAGGAATGTTAATCTCACATAATAAGAAGAACATGTAGGGTGGTAAGTATTGTTGCTGCCATTTTGGTTGACTCCTGGTGTACCATGGCCAGTTTTGTGGCCATTCATGTCCCAACACTGACAACAAATAGAAAACAGAGGACAGCAGTCTGGAAGTTCTAAAGATTAATGTTTATCCATTTCACAATTGGTTGTCAGCTTTTATCTTCAACTCTGTATGGGCAAATGGAAATCATTCCCAGGTTTTGCTTTTGTTTTTACTCATGTTCAAACTATGTCCTTGTGTAGCTATAAGTCATCCTGGCAGCACTTTGCATGACTGATGAAATTTTCTTTTCCTTTAATTCTTTGTTTTGAATTATTCTTTCTTTCTAACGTAGCCAAGTTTATTAATTTATTCTGGGGGCAACATTTAGAAGATTAACCCAAGTACCATTGGAAAAGTGATTTAGATTTTTAAAAAAATGAGCATTGAAAAACACAAATAAACAAAACCCCCAAACATTTGTCCAGATTCATTTTTATAACAGATGGACTCTTTGATATGCAACTGTTATTCTTTAGCAGAGATTAGCTGCCTATGGTTTGTGGGCTCCATTTCTTCATGAGGATTTGCCTGGTTCAGCTGCAAACAGGTAAAACTTGTGACATTCACTGTTTCTCTCTGTTCTTTATTTCTCCATTGTTAAATTTCTCCATTTTATATCTTTTTCCCTAGACATTGCTATGAAAATTTGTTTTCTAGATACTTGTTTGTTTGATGGATTATAAAAAAATACTTCGCCTATTTTAATTTCGAAATGCAAGTCACCTGCTTTTGTCGTAGAGTGATATTTCTCCACTTGTCATGCCTCTTGGTTACTGATAAAAGAACTAGACGGTTCGTGCATGGGGTGCTGTAGGAATTCAGATTTCTATTATGACATCTTGAAGCCTTAAGCTATGTTGTGCAGAAGATTCTATGCCATATTCATAATTAATTTAGAGTAATCATGGTCAATATTTATATAAAAAGCTTAAGATTTGTACATACAAAAGTGACATTTCATTAAGAGGAAGAGGAATATGGGGGAAAGGTGGAGAGAAAATCATAAAAGGAGATTCTGTCAATTTGTACCGCTGTGTACAAAGATACAAAGATAGCTTGTACAAAGATAGCTTCCTGAAAGAAAAGACTTTATTATTTTCTTAGAAAAGAAAAATAAATCACCATGCATAACACAATTGGAGAAGCATATGCTTCATGCAGTGAGGTTTCAACTCTTACTAAGCACTATAGTGTGGTCATTAGAAAGAGCATTTTGGTTTAGAATAATCTATGAAGGTTCAGGGAGGAAGTGAGACTTGAGCCAAGATTTATAATTGCCAAGGGGAGAAAGGACAGCCTTCTACAAGAGGAAAACAGAAGGGAGAAAAATTCTGAGGCTTGAAAGACATGCATTCTTGCCTTGAGGACACTGGTGGCCCAGGATCCAAAGATGGGAGTTTACTACTCTGGGGCGGGAAAGGCCTCCAGCTAAGGTGCAGGGGCAGGATGAGAGAGCCTGGGCCAGGGGATGAGAGGGAGCTTGCAACGACAATCATCTGACTCAAGAGCCTTTTTCAAGTATTTCTTATTCAGCTAGGGCTGGAGCAGGTTATTGAAGTCCTTGAAAGCAAAGCTTATATTGAGAACATTTTTGACATATTAATCTGATCAAAATGGACTAGATTGGGGATGTACAGAAATGGCTGCAATTATGCTCCCTGGAGTAGCTTCAGATTTTATCTGGAGTTTCTGTCTGGTTGGGAGGGAGTTGCTTGTATTTACATAGCATCTTACATAGGATTGAGATATCTTCAATTTTCTATATCAAAAAAACTGGCGGTGAGTTTTGGAGGTTATGGGGGCATTCACACTTCTCAAGCAATATCTGCTGCGACTCAGCATGCTTCCTACTCTTTGGGACTCGGCGCTGGTAGCTGAACTGTAAAGAGAAGCTATACGCTGGATCTGATGCTTATTGCACTGCCTTCCTCTTCTCAACAGCCAGCAAAAAGTCTTTTCAACAATTTCATACACTTGGAAAAGGTCTAAAGTGAAGAAAGGGATTTTCAAATTGGTGTGGTGGAAAAAGCAGCTGGGCATTTGGGCTTGAAATCTGGTGCTGTCACTTACTGGTTTTGTGCCCTGGCAATACTTATTTCAATTTTTGTGCCTCTGTTTTGCTATAAGCAAAGCAGGGAATTATGAAAACCACGTTCTCAATTGGCTTGTACAGCACCTCCCACTCCCCATCACTTCTCTTGTGGGCCTTTGGAAATGGAGGATGGGGGAGGGTTTGGATTGTTACAATGACTTGGGAGTGTCATAAAAACTAATGGGCAGAAGCCAGAGACACCAAATGTCCCGCAATGCCTGAGGCAGTGCTGGAAATGAAGAAAGTCCTGCTCCGAATGCCAGTCTCAGTAAGAAACGCTGGTGGTTTCTAAGGAACTTCCAACTTTAACATTTCAAGACTTCACTAAGCCTTGGGCTAGGAGGCACCATACCACAGGCCAGGGTCTCTCAAACCCCGTCCTGCACCCTCCCCTACCGCACCTTTCAAGTTTGGATTTAAGTTTCACTTCTCAGCGACACCTCCCCCGGTGCCCATGCCAATCTTACTATTAAGTTGTTATATTACTATTTGGTTAATGTCTCTGCTCCCCTCCACCACTCTGTTAACTCCATATCAGCAGGGGCTGGGCTATTTGTGCACTAACACACACTGTAATGCTTGGTGAGGTCACGGAGGCACTAAGTATTTCTCGTATGAACAGACGAATAGCCGATGAACAAACGAACGCACACGCGCGGAGCGAAAGCGCGCCAAGAGGAGGCGCTGACGTCATCACGTAACTCCCGCCCCTCCTCCTAGTGGCTGTTTGTTTCCGGTGTTTCAATAAAGCTCGATTCGGCTCGAAGAAGACCCGTTCTTCCGGGAAAATGGCGGCTCCCACTCGTGCCCCGGAGTCCCCGCCGGCCGCGGATCCGGCTCTCGCGGCGGGTCCTGCCGAGGAAGCTGAGTGCCCGCCGCCTCGCCAGCCTCAGCCCCCGCAGAATGTGCTCGCTGGCCCGCGGCTTCGAGCCCCAAGCTCCCGAGGACTTGGGGCAGCGGAGTTTGGCAGAGCTGCGGGAGATGTTGAAGCGCCAGGAGAGACTTTTGCGCAACGAGTAAGCTGGGTCACGCCGCGGCGCCGCCTGGCTCCTGGTTCGGGCTCCCTGGGACGCTCCCCTCCCCCAGCCCCGCTCCCTTTCCGGGAAGGTGACCTTGCCTCAGGTTCACTTCAGTCCTGCGGGCGGGCGGACGGCCTGCAGCTGCAAAGCCGTGCCTCATCCCGGCCACGCACGTACTACCTGTGGGGTGGCTCGAGGACTGAGCGGCCGCGTAGCGTTTCAGCTAGTCAGTATCTCCTCGTTGCTTCTGTTTACCCAGCAGCTATGTCGGTTTCATGAAGAGACAGTCTGTATCCTAAATCCTTTCTAATCGCCTCCCGGTCCCCCTCCCCCCGAGCCCCGATCTTGTCACTCTCATCTGTAGATCCTGTTCTTAAAGGAACCGTAGCAAATGAGAAGACAAAGTTCGACTCTTGTTCAGCTGGCAGACTTGACGGATTTTGGCAGGGGAGCGCTATGATAAAAATGGTTTTTTAAAAAAAGGCAGCTTTGTTTAGCAGCTTGGGTAGGATGGTTTGAAGGAATAAGAGGCAGAAGACGGTAGGAGGTTATTTTCAGAGAGGTTTCCAACAAGGGGTTTGTAAGAAAGTGAACTAGGGAGGTATCTGTGGGATTGGGAAAGCTTCATCTATTGTGGAATAATTTGAATATGTATTTGACAGAGATGGCTGAAGTTTCCAATCTATGTGGAGAACCACTAACAACAACAGGAAAGTTGAGGGAAAGGAGTAGACTCAAGGTTGATTTTACATAGAGTGTGCTGAATTGAGGGGGAAAGCAGGACAGACATTTGGTTAGTTACAAACTGAATAGTTAAAAGCTGGAGTAGTGGTCATCAGGCTCAAGAGAGAGAGGGCAAGGCTGGGAACTTGAGAGTCTCAACTGTGAAGCTGTCAGTAGGTGAAATAGTGGGAGTGATGTAGTGTCAGAGAAAAAATAGAGGGCCTAAAATGTAACCTTCCCTTTCCATTTATTGTATGGCTAAAGAAAAGGGAATTAGAAAAGGAACTTCTGTCACTCAACAAAGGGGACAAATAATCACTTGGGAGGCTTCCTAGAGACAGGTGTTTTGGTTTTGTGAAAATTGGTTTTTAATCTATAGCAGCAGTTAACTTTTTGGTCTCAGGATCCCTTTGTACTCTTTAAGAACTACTAGGCATCCCAAAGATGTGTGTGGTTTCTGGTGACATGAGGCACTTCATAAAGTTCATGGACAAATAGAATTAAAAATATGAATCTTTCCAGAATTTTTGAAGTACCCTCATATTTATTGATTTCTCAGAAATACAACTGAGACGTCTTTAAAACACAAGAATGTACAAGCACACAGTCCCTTTCAGAGCAATGATGTCACCACACATCATGTAGTCTCTGGAAAACTCCACTGTGCCCATGTGAGAAAGTGAGAGAGAAATGGCAAATAGTGTGTTAGTGTTGTTATGAAAATAATTTTGACCTTACAGACCCATTCCCTCACCACCTGGGTCTTGGAGATCACACTTTAAAAACTGTTGATTTTTGGAATGTCTTATGATTATTATGTGCTTAAAAGACTTCTGCTGAAGTTCTGATTAGGTGACACAAATAAAGCATATATTCCCTATTGTTCTTACATCCCCTTGTTTTTTGGGGTATTTGGATAATGACTGTCTTATTCATTTCATTCCTGTTTTGGGGCAGTTAGAAATCAAATTTTGCACTTAGAAATAAGGGCTCTAATGTATACATGTTCTTTTCCATTTGACAGAAAATTCATTTGCAAATTGCCCGACAAAGGTAAAAAGATCTTTGACTCTGTTGCCAAACTGAAAGCTGTCATTGCAGAATGTGAAGAGGTGAGAGGAAAGAGTGAGCTGTTTCATCCTGTTAGAGTAGACTGTAAGCCAAGGCAAAAAGCCATTGCAGGAGTTGATGTGGACACAGATAAGGTCCAGAATTCTGGCCAGATTCTTGATACTTCATCACTAGTTCCTGGCTGTTCCTCTGAAGATAACATCAAGTCATCTAAAACAACCTCACAAAAACAGGGACTTGAACATCCTACCCACAAAGGCAATGAAGAGACTCCAGAGGCTGAGGACACAGTGAACAAGGGCCCAGCGTCCAGCAGCAGAGCCAGGGTGTCTTCTTCATCCAAAGCTAGTGAGTGTCTCCCTCAGCATTGTTTTTCAAGTCAAGCAGAAGATATTTCCAGCAGCTTTGACAACCTGTTTATTGACAAGTTACAAAGGGTCACAATTACAGACCAAGGTGAACACCACTCAGAAGAGAACACAAGTGCTGAAAACTTGACAGGCCTTTGTAGTGGAACTCAGAGGAAGCCTCATTACATGGAAGTGCTAGAAATGCGAGCCAAAAACCCAGTGCCCTCACCACATAAATTTAAAACCAATGTGTAAGTACCATTGGAAGCAGGCCTATTGCAAGAGCATATTTGTTAAACTCATATAATTGGGAGAATGCTTTAAGTTCAGTGGGCTTTGTGAGAACTACTTATAGTTAGGAATGAAAATATCGTGGAAACAGTAAGACCACCCTGGCCACAGTGGAGGATTTATGTTCAAAGATACTTTGTTTTTGAAGCCAAATAATAGAAAAGGCTTTAAATAGCAGATAGGGGAGTATTAAATTTCAGGATGCTTAGCCAATATTGCATAATAAACACAGGGTTAGGTTTTTTGTTCAGGACCATTTCCTAGTGTATAGCTCCCCCTTTGATTAGTCTATAAGCTAAGGGAGAAGCAATTGCAGGAACTGATGGACCTTCTCAGCAAAAAATATTTGCGTGCTCACTCTATGTAAGCAGCAGGTGCTGTGGGGACACAATGAATTAAAGATTCTGCTCCTCAGAGAGTTTCAGATCTAGAGGAGGACCCAAGATTTACAGTTGGAAAAAAGCTAAACTATACCATAATAATAGTTTTAGGAGGAAGAGAGCGGAGGTTGGAAAAAAGTTGCAAAAACAGATTTAGGCAGGATGGACAAAAACCCTACTTCTAAGTTCCTTGCTATAGTTTTATTTTGAGGTCTTCAGAAAAATAGGAGCGCTTTAAAGAGAAAAGAATTGTTTACTTATAGCAAATGTAACATTCAAATCGGAGTAACTGGTAACTGCCTATATTTATAAGGATGTAGAGTCAAACCACTATTATATACTACCTTTCTTTGAAAAACTGAAAACCTCTAGTTAAAAATACCTAGAACATGGTTTTTTTTGTTTTGTTTTGTTAGAGACTTTAAAATTTAGCCCTACCCCACCATTCATATTGTTTTTATTTCAAAACACATTTTATTTCTGCTGTATAGAAAACTAGGATTATACTACGTGAATTTTTAGTTAGGAATAAAAAGTAATCTTTGATCAAGTAATCTCTCATCTTGTGTGCAGTGAGTTATCTTTCGTCACTTACAGGAGGACATTTTAGAAAACCAGAAGCATCATCTCGTCAGTAAATAAAACAAAATACATTGGTCCCAGTTCTGTATTATGGTCATTTAGCTGGGAGTGGAAGGAAAGTAAGGAAATAGCAGTGAGGCCTAGCAAGGGTTAAGGAAGTTTAAGAGAGAAGGATCCTCCTGTGCAGTTAGAGGATATCAGGAAAGGCTGGGCCACGAGTCAGTAGGCCATAGACATGTGGGGATTGAGGGTGTTACATGCATGAGCAGCAGCTTGGAGGTTGGACGGTGGGATGAGGTAGTGTCCTTTGGCTCCTTTCTGCTCTTACTTTGGCCGCCTCCTGTATGCTCATCTGACTTTGTGTACTACCTGGAAGCTTAAGGCTGTCCCTCAGGTATCTCTAGGCTAGGTCTTCTCAGAACTTGAAATTTGCTTAGCCAGTTAGCTATGAAACATGACCACTTGGGTGTTCCGTGGCAACTCGGTTTCAACAGGTACAGAGTGGGACTACTATTTCTTCCCAAACTGACTTTCTCTTGTATATAAGTTATCAGTGCCACCTCCTCCTGGTTTTTCCCGCAGGGTATGTTCCTTTTCCCTCACCTCCATATCTGCTAACAATGAAGACCATAATATTTTTTCTTCATCTTTATCTCTGTGATTGTTTCTATCTTCATCTTCTGTCAAAGTGAGGGCTCTCCTGCCTGTCTTGAGCTATAATTTTGGCCTATTCCTGCCTCTGTTCTTAACTACCAGTCCATCCTTTCTAGTGCTGCCAAAGTGAGATTTGTAAGATGCAAAGCTGAACCTGGTTACATACAGTAGAACTCTTCGTTGCAGTCTGTGCCCAGCCTACTTCCCAGCCTCCTCACTGCCTTTTCTGTATTTTCCACCTCCTATACTACCTGTATACTGCAGCTTTGTTGCCCCATGCTCCCAGGGCTGGGATGCCCTTCTCCCCTCATTCACATGATGAGCACTTATTGCATGACTGCTCAAATCTCACTTCTTTGAAGCTTTTCTGACAACCTCCCTCTCTCCCACTAGAACTGGCCATTTCCTTTTTTATGTTCTAGAGTATCACTTATAGATGTCTGTATAGCACCTGTGGTATCATATTGCACTGAAACTGTTTAAATGTTTATTTCCCTCTACTGGACAGTAAGGGAACATTTGTAAATGTTCTTTGAATGAAAAAATAGCTTCAGTTCAAGTATAAGATTTGAAGAGGGAGGGCAAAGAACCAGTATATATAAATGAAAGTACTTAAGAAAGTTTGTAGATAGATGGAACTAAAAGATAATACAAATCTTTCCATGAACTTTTTGAAGTACCTTCGTATATGTGCACACACACACACTCCTATTATCTGTTATAGCAATGAATATTGGTAAATTGCCTACTGTTACCTTTGCAGAAGAATTAATTGCTATAATTAAAGACCATTTTTCTGTGTGTGAATGTTTTAAGTGTGTCTATAAAAAGAAAATTAGTATAACATGTTTTTCCCGCTTCAGATTACCTTCACAACCAAGTGGTTCATCTAGTCATTGTCAGAAGAGAGACACTCCTATTTCCTCTGAAGAGCGGCTGCGCAGGGATAAGCAGCATCTCGATGACATCACAGCAGCTCGCCTTCTACCACTTCACCATATGCCTGCACAGCTGCTCTCCGTAGAGGAATCTCTGGCACTTCAGAAACAGCAGAAACAGCATTATGAGGTAGGTAGAGTATTAATTTCTTCTTGTTTGTTTGCTGGATGCTACTTCCTTGAGTTAGTTAGAATTTACCCCAGGTAGTTCAAGGAGGAAGGGATTTAATAGAAGGGATTAGGTACTAGAGAAATAGTCAGCTAATGTCATTATCTCTCAGATGTGTGCCACCACTTTTTAGAGTCACAGAGTTGCTAAAACTCTAGGAAACAGCTGGAGATGATCAGATACCTGCAACATCAAAGTGGTGATTTGCCAGGAATGTGGGGAGACTACTGTAGAACTTCATATCTTAAAGTCTATGCATTTGCTTGCCTCTGCTAGCATAGCAGTAGTATCACTTCTCTCTCTTTTTCATCTTGTAAAACTTATGCCGCAACTTCTCAGTGGTGGAATCTCATCAGATCCCTCTGAAGAGAATCAGGGAAATGTACTTCCCAGGCTTCCATCTCCTGCAGTACAGGAGATAGCATAGAAGGGGCGGGAGGATAGTGTTGTGTTTCCAACAGACAGTGGGACACTCTGTGCTTAAAAGCTTAATCTGTGGGCTTGTGAAGAGAGTAAAATCTACTTTGGGCGACTTCATCAGTTTTGTGTAGCACTTTCTCCAAAGATCCGTGTGTTTTTCATAGAACTTTTTTTGTTTTGTTTTTGTTTTTCATAGAACTTCAAACAGGCAAGTTGAGTTTCTGTACAGAATAGTGGGATGATAGAAAGTAAGTATGAGGACCATAGGGAGAATAGAAAGGTATAGATATACTTAGATGGTAATACTTTTTGAGCCTCTAGGAAAACAGCATCCTGTCTCACTTCTAGATGTCACTTAGCTATATTTTAGTCAGACACTACACAGCAACTAGTATAAAACTGTGGTGTTATAATCTGTCTTGGCTTTTCATAAAAGCTCAATTGTCATGTGTTGGCATTTTCAACGCACTCCTTTTTAAAAGCTGTTTTTCTTCCTCTCCATGCAGTAAAATTTGGGCACAGCTGTCAGGTTTGTTGTATTGCCAGAGAGAGCACTAAGTGGCTGGTATGCCCCTTTATATCTAATGTCATTTGAATAACTTCTCATTGAAAAAGTGTAAGGAAAAGATGTTAATGTGTAACTTTTGCTTTGCTCTTTGTTTTAAAGGAGATGCAAGCGAAGCTCGCAGCACAAAAATTAGCTGCAAGACTGAATATTAAAATGCAGAGTTATAATCCAGAAGGGGAATCTTCAGGGAAGTACCGAGAAGTACGAGATGACGATGATGACCAGTCCTCTGATGATGAATTCTGAAGATGAGCATTGGGATAATCTCCTAAATGTCCTACTGTTGAGATGTCGTTATCTTACATCAGACTTTCTAGCAAGTATCAAGATCAGTGTCAGACATTGTTGAGGGAAAGAATTTTATAAAGTTACACAGAGGTAGCTATAAAAAAAGCTCAGTTTGTCTTTCAAAAGATGACTTTCATGTGCTTGAAAAGTTTAATATTTGAATATTGTGTTTAATCACATTGTATTAAAGTTTTGCATTATGTCATGTGTTGATCCAATATTTTCGTATGTAGTAGAACACATTTGTTTCTTTAAGCCAAATGAAAGGTAACTTTGCCTTTTTCCTTATTCCTCTGTTAAATAGCATTTATTACATGTTTTTCACTGAATACTTAGTTGTCCCAGAAACCTAAAATTAATTAGGAAGACATAGTTTCTTCCTTTTTTGAGTAATGAATGGAGCAGTCTAGAGGATTGTATGCATGTTTGCATGGGGTTATTGAGCTACTGGATGTGAAATACCTAGGAAGACACTGATAGAAAATGCTTGTTTCCTTCTCTGTCTTCCCTTAGGAAGACAAATGTTTGTTTTCTTCTTCTGTCTTCCCTTAGGAATAAGGAGTATTTTGAATAGATGCTGGTGGGTGGAGGGTGGAGGGTCTTTCTAGCTGAGCTGCTTTGCCCAGAGTAACATGAGGTATAGGAACAGTCCAAGCTGACTGAACTAGGTGAAAGGAGTACTGTTCTTGTGCTTCACTTGACTTGAGGTCATTGTTCTTACAGGTGATAGGTACATATGCAGGACATTAATGTTTGGTAAGGAGATCTTTTTTTTTTTTTTTTTTTTACAAATTACAATTGAATTGTCAGTATGTTGCTTTTTTTCTCCCAGAGGCATAGGCTGTAGAAACCTCAATCTCATATCTGTTCACTTTCATGTCTTTTTAAAGGATTATATGGTTGTCTCTAGAGAAACTAACACTTAATGTTATCAAAAAATTATTTGTCTATTATGTTTGAGCCTTTAAAAGTGTTGAAAGGAAGAATAAAATAGTAATGATAGCAACTTCAAATGCTAATGGTGATGTTTTACTGGTGCTTAATTAAATCTAACTTCTTACTTTAAAAGAAAGTGTTCATATATGAAATTTGGTTGAAGATGCATTTAGGTCAGATGTATGTGTGATAGGAACGGTTTAGTTCTATATCACGTGCTTCCAGTTGTGGTTACTGCTTTCCATCCCTCCACCCCCTAAAAAAGTAAATGTAAAAATACTGAGCTAACAGTCTCATTATTTTTGTTTTTAAAACTAATAGTAAATTATTTTACAAGATAAAATTTGATGTTCTTTCTGTGTAGAATGAAATAATACATGCTGTTTCTGGAAAGCTGGATAATATGGAAGAGCTCATGTTCATGTATACATAGTACCCTATAATCCTACCACCCAGAGACAATATGTTAACATTTGAGTGTTTACACTTATACTTATTTTTCTATGCATTTATACATGTATATTTTAAAAAATGCAGTCATACTATACATTGTTTCATAGTGTGTTCTATATATGGTAAGCATTTTCCCACATTAAATGTTTTGCATTTTAGATAACAAAATATTCCATTTCATGGGTTTATCATAATTTTTAAAATCAATTTCCTATGTTTAATAATTTGACTGTGTTCATTTACATTCCTATTAGCGGTGTATCAAACTCCCAGAATTGAAAATTAATATTTAAAATCTTTGTAAGTTGAATAATAACAGAAATGCACTATATTTAAAATTTGTATTTCTTTGATTACTCAGTGAAAGTTGTTTTTCATGTTTATTGGTGATTTATGTTCATTCTTTTGAGGCTTGCTCATTCATGTTTTTCCTGTTATTCTCTTGGAGAGCTTACCCTTTTTCTTGGCTTATAAGTTCTTTATGAATTAACAATGCCCATCTTTATCATACATTGTAGGGTTTTTTTAGTGTGTTGTCTTTTAATACAGTTCATGGTGTTTCAGTGTAGAAGCTGTTTTCTTTAGGAGTTTACCTTTGCGAGTGTGCTTGAACATACTTTTCCTAGTCCAAGAATGGATGATATTTATCTTTATTTTTTTCTAGTATTTTTTAAAAATTTAACTTTCTACTCTTATCTTTAATTCAAAAGGAGTGTTCATCTTGTTTATATCTATTTACTCACTTAATCTACACAACTTTGGGGTGAAAAGGAAGTTTTTCCATCTTGAATGTATCTGGGGATATTGTATGAGGCAGGGATTTAATTTTAATTTTTGTAAAGAGTTTACCAGTTGGTCCAGTTGTTTCAGTACTATAAATCACTATTTCCATTCTGATCTGTAATGCTATTTTTATAGAATATTAAATTCCTGTGTCTTGAGCCTGTTTCTGGGCCTTCTAATTTTTGTCCACATTACCAATAATTATTAGCTTTAATAGGTGTTAATATTTGGTAGTACAAGTCCTCCCTTGTTCTTTTAAATTTTGAAATATAACCTACAGAAATGTACATAAAACAGATGTGCAGTTTAATGGATAAAGCGACAGCTAGCTAATCACAAACCAGATCCAGAGAAGCTGCTGCTATCAGTCCACAGTCTCCCTTTGTGTCCCCTCTTGTCACCCCTTTTGTTTCCCAGAGGTAACTACTATCTTGACTTTATGGTAATTCTCTGTTGTCCTCCCCCCATTTTTAAAGTTTCTTTACCAGTTATGTATGCAATAGTATGGTTAGTTTGTTTTGCCACTTTTGACTTCTGTAAAAATGGAATCATACTATATGTTGTGTTGTGTCTTTCACTCAACATTGCTTATAAAATTCATGTCATATGTAGGTGTGGTTTATTCATTTTCATTGCTGTGTAATGTGACATTAATACTATTATTTAGTCTGCCGTGGTGGGCACTTTGAGGATATTTTCAGTTTTTGGTCATATAAGCAATGCTGTAATGAGCATCTTTGCACACATAAACACATTTCTATAGTACATATATACCTAGGAGTGGAATTGCTGGGTTATAAGGTATGCATGTCTTTAACATTTTGTATTCCCACCACCCCTTCCATGGTGTATGAAAGTTTCAGTTTGCTATCATTTGGTATTGCCAGATGTTAATTTTAGCCAATTTGGTGTTTATATAGTAGAGATATATTGAGATTTTATTTTGCATTTTCCTAATTAGGAATAGCATCGAGCATCTTTATGTTTATTTGCCACTGGATTTCTTTTGAAAAGTGCCCCTTCAAGTCTTTTGTCCATTTTTTTTATTGTGCTGTGTCAGCTGTCTTTTTTTCCCCTCATTAATTTGTAGGATATACTCTAGATACTAATCTTTGGTAATCGATCAAGTAATTTGTTATTTGGTTGTTTATATTTGTTGTAAATATCCTCTTCCTTTCTGGGGGTTATTTTTCATTTTCTTCATGGTGCGTTGATTAATAGAAAATCTTAATGGCAAATCTATCAATCTATTTATTTAGTGCCTTTCGTGTCTTATTTAAGGAATCTTTTCTTACTCTGAAGTCATGAAGATATTCTCTTTTAAAATCTTTATAGTTAAAAAAATACTTTATAATTTTGCCCTTCACATTAATTCTTCCACCTGGAATAAATTCATGACTGTGAGGGAGGGTTCTAGGTAGCTGCTTGTCCCAGCTCTATGGCATGCAAAGATGGTCCTTCCTGGCTGCCCCTTGGTGCACTTCTGCCATGTCTTTAACATCTATATGTCTTTTACTTTCTGGGTTCTCTCTTTGGTTCCATTAACCTATTTGTGCTAATATTACACAACCTTTTTTATGAATTTATGATTGCTTTGTGATAAGGCTGGAGCAAGACCCACCATCTTATTTCTCAAAGCAGCTTGGCTATTTTTGGCCCTTTGCATTTTCACAAAAATTTTAGAATCAGCTTGTTACATTCCACAAAAAAAGTCCTTGGTAGTGCAAATCCTTCATTCGTTTTCAAAAAAAAATGTTTGATATTATGTCATTAATCAATTAACTTTTTATTTCTAACATTTGTATTTCAAAACTTAGGAGATAGGGGATTTGGAACCTTGCTGTTTACTAAAGTACATTTACTGTTTCTATGAGGATGACTATTTTTAGTTTCCATGAGTTAAATGAAAAATTCAGAATGCTGTTTCAGTGTGAATACCTAAAGTACTGTGTAGTTTTGACTGAGAAGAGATAGCAAGCAAGAAGAGAAAGAATTTAAAAAGTCGAATTTATGTTTAAAACAGGAAAATGGAGTGAATCTGCAGTAGTCGTGAACTCTTAGCTTCAGTTTTCAAGTGATATGTCAAGAGGAGGAAGTAAGTGCTAAAATTGGGGCTTAACCTGAACCGTGGAAGACATTATGAGGATTAATCTCATAATATTTATAGGGGTAAAAATTTTTCATTTTCGTAAGACCTGTCTCTAATTCACATTGCACTCTCTGGGGAGCCAGAAGGACTGCTGTGAGCCAGTGGGGAAGGGAGATAGCTTGTGGGATTATCTCTATTATAACTGGGACGTTGCAGTGATTTGCTCAAGGTCACTCAGAGGCAGCCAAGAAAAGGACCCACTCAAGATTTTGGGACCTGGATTGCATGGCCTTGCAGGTGGAAACCACAAATCAAGGTTATATTCAGGCTTTAAAAAGTGCTGTTGCTAGGCAAGAGCTCAGATGACTCCAAGGACATTTTTCATATCCCTGTGACTTTTTTCCTTCTGATGATTTTTGTATTTGGAATGTTTTGTTTTTAATCATTTAGGACTATGTGACCATTTTAGTCCCTGCTGGTATTTTCACTCTTCTCTCCTTATTTAATGGTTGGCTATATAAAACTTTTTAGAAGAGATGCAAGGAAAAGAGATATCAGGCATCATTGGCTTTACTCAGAAGACCAGGTAAATCTGGCAGTTTACCCTCTACAGACTTAACGGACTAGTTTGTAACAGTAAAAGAAAGTAAAGTTGTTAGGGGAAAAAAAATTCTTTTTGTGCAGGAAAAGTTCAGAGTGCCTGTGCTAAATAAATAAAAGGATTATATGTCTGGCTTTTATGGGGAATATATATAGTCATTTTTAAAATATGGCAAATGGCATTATTGACTAGCTGCTTGACAGGGAGCAGAAACTTAAAGCTATTATTTTAATTTCTGGCTAAAGTGAGGAAGCTTTGATACCGGCCCAATGAAATAAACCTAGTGTTGGATAATACTGAACTTGAGCCAGACCACAAATCAAACGTGATTCTGAAAGCACTG